AAAAAGAAGTGACAGCGGTGAGATTCGAACTCACGCCCTTTCGGACCGGTGCCTTAAACCGGCGCCTTAGACCGCTCGGCCACGCTGCCTGCCTTTAATCCATCTAATGAAATATACTGGATTTTTATAGATAATTTGGTAGGAATAATAGATTCTCAGCACCTTTCGCAGTTGAAAAAGAAGAAAGCAAGAGGTCTTTTTTTTATTTTATTTTGAAAATGTGTTATTGCAAACGCAAATTTTTACTATTATATAGTTATTGCCGTCGTTGAGGCAGTGACAGCTATATTTCTTATATGTGTTAAATCTATAATATAGGTGTTAGGATAAAAAATATTTTTAAGCACATATAATACGATAAGCAAGCTATGTCGTGCGACAATCATTGATTTATGCAAATAGGAAAGGACGATGCCTTATAAACCACAAATCCGTCATTGTTGAACAATAAAAAAATAATGTAAATCTCGTGGCAATTTTTTTGTTGAGTACTTTGGTAGTCTGTTCAGATTAATGTTATGGTATTCATACTAATAAAAATGTAAAATACTGTTCTTTATTGTTATTGTCGAAATGACCATCACAGTCATGAGATATGTTGCTAATGATATTCGAGAGCAATAACATTTTCATTTCGAATTAGTGTCACTGAAGAAAGTATTTCAGTCGACATCGATTATTATAAGATTCAGTCTATTGAAAAAAGATACTGGTATTTTTTATTTGTCTTTCCAATGTTTACCAATCGTTTGCTAGCTTAAATATCGGCTCTGCTCATGCATTTGTCGAGGAATCGAAATCCACCAAATAAAGTTAGATTAAATCTTCAAATGCCAATCGTGAGCGCTTTTGAAACGCTACAAAATCGTATATTTACGAAACTCCAAAAAATGTTTGCAATTTCAGGTTTTCTTCACAATAGGTGTAGGACGCTGCATCTGAGCTGAAATTTTCAGGAATGCTTGTTCCTAGTGAGACACACTTCATGTAAAAAATTCAACTTGGTACGCTAAATTAGACCGAACTTCCAACTTATTTATAGTCATTCTATGACCTTGAGAAGATTTTTCAAAACTCCGTCACTGCAAGAGATAGTGAGCTTGGAGCGGTTTCAAATTAACGCCGGTATCTGTGCGTAGTTTTGTCCGAACATTATTTTTACCATAGTGTCTATAGTTTTTTCATGATCAGGTTAGTAAACGCAGTGTTGCATAAGCAAAGGAAACGTCACTTCACTATACTATATCTCATTTTTCTCAAGATAGTAAGCAACTGTAAGAAATCTGATTGAAAAAAGTTTATTCTCATTGAGATCTTCAAAACAAAAAAATATTGGTTTTATCTTAAACTGGCTGGGAGTTGTTTCAAGTTTTCTGATGGAAAAAAATGTTCCAGAAAAACGGTAAATAAGTTTGTACATGATGTTTTTCCTTCAAGTCTAGAAAAAAGAGCATTAAAATGTAATATGTATAATATTTTTCAATGAAACTTTTAAAAGGGCGTAACACATGGCATAAGCTAGCACTATTTGTGGCGCTTAAAATATATATAAGAAAGCCTATTAAATCTTGATGAAAACAAAGTGATAGGCTGTCCAAAACCAAAAAAGTTTGAAACCACGAAAATTTCTCGGAAAATAGGGTAGTAAAATTAAAACTTTTTCAAAAAGTCATATATATATTCTAAGAGAAGAAACTTCGCTGCATCTTTCTGTGATAAAAACGTAAAGTTGGTTTTCTGAAGGTTGTCTTTAAAGTACTCGATGCACACTCTTTTCGAGGTATGATTCTAGAATATTTTGAGTGAAGTTTTAGTAGATTTGGCTCAGAGAAACTAGGTATGATGTTAAAACTAACTTAATATTTGGAATTAATATCGGAAACTCAATCGACTGATGTACATTTTTCCATGTAAAGAAAAAATTCCAAAAAATATTTGCAACATACTTAAACAGACTCTTTTTTTTTCGTGCTCTATTCCGAATATTAATTTAGTTTTGACGCAACCTCTAGCTTGTCTAATTTAAATGTACGAAACAACTAGATCTGAAGATGCCATTCAAAAAAGCACTAAAGTCGTGTCTCAAATATAATTTGGATAGAATCTCTTCAATAGTCATCTTCTTTTGAGTTTCGTACACATACGTTTTTTTAGTATTCGATAAGCATTGTTGATTGGTATTGAAAGAATTACTCTAACTCAACCCTATGAATCTTTATTCGTCGACAAGTAAAGGAGCAGAATCATTTTTTAACTAACATATCTTCGATCAACATGGAAATGACAAATAAAAGGCATCAGTATTTTTTTCATACACTCACTCTCATAGAAATCGATGCACAATCCAATGTTCTATTCAGTGAAATCAATCCGAGATGAAAGCATCGTTGTTACCGAAAGCAACTATCAAGATACATCAAGGTTTTGACAGTTATGTCAACAATGAAAAATTAAAGACAGTGTTTAGCGATATTTATTATTCTAGATATTACAAGATCGATGTGAAATTACTATCAAACTACTTAGAATCAAATTTTGTTTAGAATACAGAAATTACCTCAAGTTTGATTTGTACTTGGTAGTTATTCATAGAAATTAACTTTAAAAAAAACACCGATAGTAAAATATAAAATTGCATTTTTTTTATTCGTTTTTGATTTTAATTTAATGTCAAGTAAATATTATCTTTAAAAGTTTTCTTTTATCAATATTGATTTATCTAAATTAAAAAAAAATTATTGAGATATTTTATCAATGGTTCGACAGTTCTATTGTTATTATTGAGACAGTGAGACTGCAAATAATAATACATGTAAGAAGTAAAAATGAGAGAAAGAATCATAATAATTGACCAAAATTGAAACTAAAAGTGCTGATTGATCATATGTATGTTACATATAAATGTTACATGGGAAGTAAATATTTACGATTCTTTAAATACTTCTGGGAGAAACAAAACTTTTTCTAAACAACTATAAACACGTGCAGTATCTCGATTCATTAGTGTTTTATATTATCGCGAATATTACTATATTATTTTGGAAAAATATAATTGTAGAAAAGAATAGAAATGACTTAGAAAGAATGATAAATTTGTTAAAATCTGATAAAGTCATGAAGTGTTCACACACGTATTTTTCTCTCTTCGAGAGCATTTTTAGAACATTTAACATTTTTCGACTTGTACCAGTAGCACCAAAAACGTATTTTTTTTAGAGGATTTTGTGAGATTTAAAAAATTCTTTTAATCAGTTTCTGATAACATCAAAAAAAAACGAGGATAATAATGAAGACGAAAATGTAAGACCGAGAACAGAAGATCAAGCTAATGATGGCATTAACGCTTGTGAAGTATATCGTTCCTCTGATACCTTTAGAACATATTACACATCATTAAAAAATAAATCTAATATATCCCAAACTACAAGAAACTTCAATAGTTCCATCACAGAAGTTGCGTTTGACGCATTTAGAGAGATATATTGCTTCAATTAGTACACTATGCATTACAATAAACTGAAATTTGAACAATAGAAATGTCAAAAATTTAGGTTTTCAGAAATTCTTTGACAAAGTAGAAGTTAGAAAAAAAAATTTTTTCAAAGTAAATGTCGAAATTAATTCATGAATCATATAGACAAGGTACAGATAATAATTCATTCAATTAATTATTTTAAAATCAAACATTTTCACTGTATTTTAGTAGCTAGTTGAAAAAATGAAGATAAAACATAGATGAACATTTATTGGAAAATATAAAATCAAGAGACAACCAATCAACAATTTCGTCGTTCCAGTTTAAGTCTGATACTTAGTAAAGTGTTATTAATCTGAAACAAAAATTAGTTATCTATTACTTTCTCTAACTAAAAATTCAATAAATCTCTATATTATGGATAGAGGTGTTAGTTTGATTTTTGATTGGAGGAACTAAAAGATAACCGATTTTTCTTTTGCTCTTTACCATTTGCATATGTCTTATAACTCATGTTGTATCTTTCATCATAATGATAGTAGAGCTGTAAAAACATCAACAAAATGTATAACATGATTTTACTAATTTAAATAAAAATAAATTAATAATTATTAAAATGTACTAGTAATGTTGCTGTGAATCGAATATAATTTTTACTTAAATAATTTTGCATTAAAATCAAAGAAAATGGTCTATATGATAACTTTGTATAGGATGTTATCGAAGGAAAAAAAATAGTGACAGCGGTGAGATTCGAACTCACGCCCTTTCGGACCGGTGCCTTAAACCGGCGCCTTAGACCGCTCGGCCACGCTGCCTGTTT